AAATATCGTGTATTGGGTGCTGTATCGAATAATGCTGATTTTGCAAAAGCCTACAATTGTCCAGTGGGCAGTAAAATGAATCCTTCATCTGACAAATGTCAAGTATGGTAGTCATATGAGAGTTATTAGTTTTAGGTAAAATTAGCATAATTGTTATTGTTAAAACAATATCTATTTGTAAATAAAAAATTATATTGTTTTAAAAAATATTTAAATTTAAATGGTTGTAATATACTTTATTTCAGAATTAATTGTTTCGAAAATTATATGATAGATATTTTTCGAATGCTGCTCTTAAAAATAAATTAAAAATTATCGAAAATTTTATATAAGAAAATTTATCGAAATTATAAATTATTGAAATTTTTCTATAGAAAGAAAATTTATTGAAAATTTTTTATAAAAAGAAAATTTATTAAAAATTTTCTATAGAAAGAAAAGTTATCGAAAATTTTCTATAGAAAAAAAATGTATAGAAATTTTTTATAGAAAGAAAATTTATGGAAATTTTCTATAGAAAGAAAATATATGGAAAAAACATTTTCTATTAAAAGAAAATTTATTGAAAATTTACTAGAAAAACAAAATTATTGAAAATTTTTTATAAAACGAAAATTTATTGAAAATTTTCTATAGAAAGAAAGGTTATAGAAAATTTTCTATAGAAAAAAATTTATGGAAATTTTCTATAGAAAGAAAATTTATCGAAAATTTTCTATAGAAAGAAAACTTATCGAAAATTTTCTATAGAAAGAAAATTTATCGAAAATTTTCTATAGAATGAAAATTTATCGAAAATTTTCCATAGAAATAAATTTTCTTTCAATAGAAAATTTTCGATACATTTTCTACAAAATGAAAATTTATTGAAAATTTTGTATAGAAAAAATTTATTGAAAATTTTCTATAGAAAGAAAATTTATTGAAAATTTTTTATAGAAAAAAATGTATTGAAAATTTTCTATAGAAAAAAATGTATTAAAAATTTTCTATAGAAAGAAAATGTATTAAAAATTTTCTATAGAAAGAAAATTAATCGAAAATTTTCTATAGAAAGACAATTTATCGAAAATTTTCTATAGCAAGAAAATTTATCGAAAATTTTCTATAGAAAGAAAATTTATCGAAAATTTTCTATAGAATGAAAATTTATCGAAAATTTTCCATAGAAAGAAAATGTATCGAAAATTTTCTATTGAAAGACAATTTATCGAAAATTTTCTATAGAAAGACAATTTATCAAAAATTTTCTATAGAAAGACAATTTATCGAAAATTTTCTATAGCAAGAAAATTTATCGAAAATTTTCTATAGCAAGAAAATTTATCGAAAATTTTCTATAGAAAGAAAATTTATCGAAAATTTTCTATAGAAAGAAAATTTATCGAAAATTTTCTATAGAAAGAAAATTTATCGAAAATTTTCTATAGAAAGAAAATTTATCGAAAATTTTCTATAGAAAGAAAATTTATCGAAAATTTTCTATAGAAAGAAAATTTATCGAAAATTTTCTATAGAAAGAAAATTTATCGAAAATTTTCTATAGAAAGAAAATTTATCGAAAATTTTCTATAGAAAGAAAATTTATCGAAAATTTTCTATAGAAAGAAAATTTATCGAAAATTTTCTATAGAAAGAAAATTTATCGAAAATTTTCTATAGAAAGAAAATTTATCGAAAATTTTCTATAGAAAGAAAATTTATCGAAAATTTTCTATAGAAAGAAAATTTATCGAAAATTTTCTATAGAAAGAAAATTTATCGAAAATTTTCTATAGAAAGAAAATTTATCGAAAATTTTCTATAGAAAGAAAATTTATCGAAAATTTTCTATAGAAAGAAAATTTATCGAAAATTTTCTATAGAAAGAAAATTTATCGAAAATTTTCTATAGAAAGAAAATTTATCGAAAATTTTCTATAGAAAGAAAATTTATCGAAAATTTTCTATAGAAAGAAAATTTATCGAAAATTTTCTATAGAAAGAAAATTTATCGAAAATTTTCTATAGAAAGAAAATTTAATGAAAATTTTCTATAGAAAGAAAATTTAATGAAAATTTTCTATAGAAAAAAAATTTATTGAAAATTTTTTATAGAAAGAAAATTTATTGAAAATTTTTTATAGAAAGTAAATTTATGGAAGATTTTCTATAGAAAGTAAATTTATGGAAAATTTTCTATAGAAAGTAAATTTATGAAAAATTTTCTGTAGAAAGTAAATTTATGGAAAATTTTCTATAGAAAGTAATTTTATTGAAAATTTTCTATAGAAAGTAAATTAATTGAAAATTTTCTATAGAAAGAAAATTTATTGAAAATTTTCTATAGAAAGAAAATTTATTGAAAATTTTCTATACAAAGAAAATTTATTGAAAATTTTCTATAGAAAGAAAATTTATTGAAAATTTTCTATAGAAAGAAAATTTATTGAAAATTTTCTATAGAAAGAAAATTTATTGAAAATTTTCTATAGAAAGAAAATTTATTGAAAATTTTCTATAGAAAGAAAATTTATTGAAAATTTTCTATAGAAAGAAAATTTATTGAAAATTTTCTATAGAAAGAAAATTTATTGAAAATTTTCTATAGAAAGAAAATTTATTGAAAATTTTCTATAGAAAGAAAATTTATTGAGAATTTTCTATAGAAAGTAAATTTATTGAAAATTTTATATAGAAAGTAAATTTATTGAAAATTTTCTGTAGAAAGAAAATTTATTGAAAATTTTCTATACAAAGAAAATTTATTGAAAATTTTCTATAGAAAGAAAATTTATTCAAAATTTTCTATAGAAAGAAAATTTATTGAAAATTTTCTATAGAAAGAAAATTTATTGAAAATTTTCTATAGAAAGAAAATTTATTGACAATTTTCTATAGAAAGAAAATTTATTGAAAATTTTCTATAGAAAGAAAATTTATTGAAAATTTTCTATAGAAAGAAAATTTATTGAGAATTTTCTATAGAAAGTAAATTTATTGAAAATTTTATATAGAAAGTAAATATATGGAAAATTTTCTATAGAAAGTAAATATATGGAAAATTTTCTATAGAAAGAAAATTTATTGAAAATTTTCTATAGAAAGAAAATTTATTGAAAATTTTCTATAGAAAGAAAATTTATTGAAAATTTTTTATAGAAAGAAAATTTATTGAAAATTTTCTATAGAAAGAAAATTTATTGAAAATTTTCTATAGAAAGAAAATTTATTGATAATTTTCTATAGAAAGAAAATTTATTAGAAATTTTCTTAGAAAGAAAATTTATTGAAAATTTTCCATAGAAAGAAAATTTATTGAAAATTTTCTATAGAAAGAAAATTTATTGAAAATTTTCTATAGAAAGGAAATTTATCGACAATTTTCTTTAGAAAGAAAATTTGTCAAAAATTTTCTATATATAGAAAATTTGAAATAAATTTTGAAATTTTAAATTTTCTTTATATAGAAAAGTTAAAAAAAAAAATTAATCGAAAATTCTCTTTATGAGAAAATTAATCGAAAATTCTCTATATGAAGAAAATTTATCGAAAATTGTCTTTATGAAGAAAATTAATCGAAAATATATACAAAGGAAATCTTCCATAAAAAGAATCCATCGTTTTTTTATAGAGATTTAATTTAAAATTGTCTATAAATAAGTAGAGAATTTATTGAAAATAAACAAAATTTACCGAAAATTTTATGTAAAAAGAGAATTTCACGAAAATTGTTAAAAATTTCAGAATTTATGGATAATCGATAATTTTCTATAAATAGAAAGCTTATCGAAAATGTTCCATACAAAGGTAATTTAAAAAATTTCAAACAGAATATTTTTTATTGATTTGTTTGTATTTTTTCGGCAACCATCCCACAGTGCTACTTTAATTGAACAGCTGTTTTACTATGCCGCTGTCAATAATTTTAGGTTAAGTTTACACAACAATATTTTTTAATTTTTGTGTTTATAGACAGTAGTTTTTTAGAAAAAATGTTAAGACTTTATATTTTTAAACAATTGCCAAGAATTACTCTAGTGTCTAGCGCTAAACTTGCAACTACAGCTTCAATACAATGCTGTGATAGAAATAAAGTGACACAAAACGCCAGACAACTTCCTTTTAAAACACCAACGAGAAACATATTCATATCATCTCCCTTAGAAAAATACAATCGCAAATCGGGAGCTAAAGATGAAGAGACAGATAGTGAAGATGAAGCAGATCCAGAATTTAAAGACGAAAGAGATTCGAAGGTGATAAAAACCAAAGTAAATTCATTAAGAGCCGATTTATTGTTAAAAGCCGGTCTGGGTATAGCAAGGAAGTAAGTTTTTGATACCCTCTCTCAATGCACATTTCCAGTAATAAACAGATTTAAAGATTTCAGTAAACATTATTTAGAAAAATAACAAAATGCTTTGAATTTTTATTAGAATTTGCAAATCTGTCTAGTTCTGGAATGTTGTACATGCATACATATTTGTTTAAAGCACTCCTACGTAGATATATTATGTGTTATTTTTATATATTTTAGCAAAATTGAAAATATCTTTTATGAAAGCAGAATACGGGTAAACGGCAAAAAGTTAGCCAAGAAGAGTGTGCAGGTGGGTTTTTGGAATTTCATTATTTCAGATTAATTATATTCTAAACATTTCCTTTCAGCTCTATGAAGGCGACGAAATTGATGTTATTCGCGGCTTTAGTCAACAAAATCCTTCTCATCTAGTAGTTTCGCGAGTGATAATACTGTCGGCCTCTGAACGTGAAGAGGGTTATAGTGTAAATTTGAGACGTTATAAAAGTTTACTAGTGGAAAATTATTCGGGTGTCAATGCCTTTAAATCATCGGCTGTAGCAGATCATTAGAAATTAAAGGCAAAATGGCAAAATTTAGTTACTTTGTAAAAGACGAGTTTAATAATTATAAATTGTGTTATTTTAATTAAAATCCCACTCAAATACAACTTAATTTAAAAAGTTTTTGAACAACATCAATGTTTGTTTTCATAATTAGTTGTATATTAAATGCTGTCCCGACCCATAATATAACAATTTACTGGTTATATCATGGTCCCGGCCTAATTTTGAAAATAAAATGTGTAAATGAAAAAAATTTTATAGAAAGACAAAAATAGATTTTCAGTTTAATTTGTTGGTTTCTTCTTTTTATTCTTTTTACGTTTCTTTTTGGGATTTTTATTTGGATTACCTTTTATCTTGTGCACCGTTAGATTCTTATATTCGCCAAGGAAATCATCCGAATTCTCCGAAGCATTGTCATCATCAAATGCATTAATTTCTGCAGTAATTTTTAATTCCATCTCAGCAGCATCCACTTCCATGGGTTCGATTTCTTTAATAACTTTTGAAGTTGTTGAAGTGGGAATTTTATTGATTATTTCCGATAAAGCTTCTACAGCTTGATCACCGTCCAACTTATAATCCCCTGTAACTGGGTTGTCTTTGCCAAATGATATAAAATCTCCCGACCAAGATTTTACTACACTCTCTGTTGTAGTTTCGTCTACTAAATCCTTTTTAGTTTCCTCTTTAATTTCTACCGGCTTCGTTTTTTTAATTTTCTTTTTTAAAGTTTTTTTAACTATTGCATCCACTTTTTTAATTTTAGCTGGTTTCTTGCACTTTTCTACCCATTTATTTAGCTCTTCACTAATTGCCAACAAATTCTTGGGAAACACCATACACAAAGCTTGTATACCAAATAATTCCTCTATAAAATTTTCCAATTTGGGTTGTGCATACACAGGTTGAGTTTCATCTTTAGTTTCTGCATTTCTGGCTATTAAACTTATAATATAATTTGGTTTGATACTCAAAGATATAAAGACACAGCTACTGGTTTGATTGTTGATTTGTCGCAGGGAGCTTTCCAAACCCAAACATATACCTTTCTGGGTGGCAAAAGATCTAGGTTCCAGTTTACTTTCTTTGATGGCATTTTGTATTAAAGATTTGAGTGTAAGCAGTTCATGTTCATCTAATATAGGACTAACAAAAAGTTTAAATTATTAGGAATTAATTAGTTATAATTTTCCGGCTTACCATTTCGTTTTGTTGGGATTTGCAAGTATGGCTTTTAATTTTGGCAAAAGTTTTTGTTTACCTTTTGTTTCTTTTGCTTTTATTTTAGCTAAACTCATATTTATTTCTAATAAAAATAATTTTCTAAATCGGCAATAGAAAACATTGACGCGCACATGTGTTTGTTTTGATTTTGTCAGGTAATATGTTCAGTGTAAGAGAAAACATATGTTTGCAGTGTTGCCAGTGGCAAAGACTATTTGAATATGAAATAACAGTATTTAACAAAACGGTACCAAAAAGTTTAAATTAGTACAAATGATAGAAATTTCACGTTTATAACGTTTCAGTGTATTATTTGTTTCTGTTTTTATATCGAGGGACTATATTCAATAGTCGCTATCTGTCATTTTTATGAAAATGAGATTTTGATGGCAAAATATTCAGCAAACTATCGCGCATCAGTGATATAAATTTCAAAGAAAAAAAATATTTTTTTGGCAATTTTATAGCATTTTTTAAATTTCTCTATCTTAAAAAAAGAAAAATTCTGAATGCAAAACTCTCTATCTTATCCAAAAATTGCTTCAAACTCGATCCCTTTGGATAATTTTCTGTTGCAAAACAAGTCTTCTTAATAATTTGGACATGCTGAACACAAATCCGTCAAAATATTTAAAATCGGTCTAATAGTTTTTGAGATATCGCTCATTATGATACTAATTAAATCAATTTTATTGTCGTGTTTAACCATATAACATTGATTTTGGACCAAAACATTATAATCTGTTGCTTTTTCAACAATTTGGTTTCTTTTCCTCCATTAAATTGTATAAAATATAATATTTATTGATTTTAATTCAAATAAAAATTTTATGTTTCCATGAAAAACTCTCTATCTGTTGGTTGAATGAACATTTTCGTAGAAAAATAAGCTCTATCTGATATAAATTTGTGAATAATTTTGTAAATAATGCAAAAATTAAATTCTTTTTATATAATGGTTTAGAATATGGTCGTAAAAATATATTGTAAAAGAAAAAATTAAAAAATCTTCACGAACTAGCGAAATAAACAGTTTTTTTGCTCTCCTGAAAACTTGTATTATTTTAGATAGAGACTATTGAATATAGTCCCTCGATATGTTATTCTATCAGGACAATATTTTTAAACTTTTTTCATCGATAATGGATTTTTATATGAAAAATCTATAATGCTAATAATTCCCCAGTCGAAAATATAACAAAAGTTGGTTATCAGTAATATTTCCCATCAAATTTTAAATTTTAGATATTTTTTTACTTAGATCTTTACATGGATAGAAATGTAGGCATATAATAGGCCGGTAACGCGACCCTAGACCATCTAGTAATAAAACTCCAATAATTAATGTTTCACAAAATTACCTAATTAAAAAAAAAACAATTTCTTATAAAGAAACATAGATGATATATTATATATTTGTTTATTTTGTCTTAAATATCAAGTTATACTTAAAGCTTATAGAAATTTTAAAATTTCAATAAATTATATCTAGCATTAGAACTATGTGCTTAAAACTAAATTATTTTAAATTTATATGTAATCATAATCACCCAATGATGGCATTACATCGGTGGCATAAGTAAATGTCTTTGCTTTACGATTTGATCTCTCCTCATTTTGTTGATTTTCTGTATTCGATTCAGAAAGTTTTGTTAACAGTGATTTTGACATATTATCAATACTTTCAGATTCTTTACTAGATTTTTCAGACTCTGAAATTGTTACATCAGTGGAATTATGTATTTCAGAAATTTCCGTTGTAGTTTCATTTATGTTTATGGGCATGGAAGTGGTGGTTTCTACTTTTTCGGGTTCGGCGGTTGTTTCTGAAATTCCATTTATGGTTTCTTTCAAAATTTCAGTTGTTGTTTCTGGAATTGGGGTTGTTGTAGAATTGAGTAACTTTGTGGTTGTTTCACTCAAGTATGATTCCGTAGTTTCATCAGTGTTTTCCATAACTTGAGTAGTAGATTCCATTATTTCAGATTCCGACTTGGCTGTAGAGTTTTCCAATATTTTAGTTGTAGTATCTAAAAACGATTCAGTTGTCACTTCTAGAGCGATTGTAGTTTCAGAAGCACCAATGATTTCCGTCGTCGATTCTTCCATAACTTCGTCGGTTTTTGTTACGGTTTCTCCTAGAGTTTCTCTTGGAAACTCTGTAGAACCTGCATTGGTATGTGAAGGTTCTGATGAATCTATCATTATAGTTGTTGCCTCAACTATTTGTTCCGTTGTGCTGTATTTAAATGGTTCATGATTATATTCGGTTGTAGTTTCTTGAATTGATTCAGCAAAATTTGTAGTTGATTCAAATAGTTCCGCTACAGTTGTTGATTCCGTTGGTGGTTGTGCTTCTGTTGCTACTTCAGGAGTGATTTCACTTTGTGTAGTTGAAAAAACACCCGAATTTTCTGTAGTGGATTGTAATGACTCTAAATTGGATCCATTAGTTGCAATTTCCTCTGGTAATGTAGTTGTTGTTTCATAAATTGAAGGAGTGGTGGTGGTGGAATCCGGAACAACGTTAGTTGACGATTCAATTAAAGATGAAAAGGTTGTCGTTGAAATTTTATTCGAAATGTCTGTAGTTGAGAATTCATCCGTTTGACTTTCAGTGGTATATTCTAAAGGACTTATAGTTGTAGTCATTTCATATACTTCAGTTGTTGTATCACCAGATCCAGTTGTAAAGGAATCGAAACCGCTTGTTGCTGTTGTTGAATCAATATCAAATATGTTAAGAACCGTAGTTGATTCCATTATCTCTGTTGTAGATTCCTTTAAAAATTCATCGGTTTGTCGTTCCGTTGTATTATCTGTTGGGCTTAGAGTTGTGGTACTTTCATCAGATATATTATAAGCTGTATTTGATTCCAATGGTTCTGAAAATTCGGTCGTATAATGTACCAGCGGATTCATAGTTGTTGTTTCATCGTATACTTCAGTTGTGGACTTAGTCGTATCCAAAATTGTAGTTGATGTGACTAGTTCTGTTGAAAATTCCTCGGTTTGGCGTTCCGTTGTAAATTCTATGGGATTTATAGTTGTAGTTCCTTCATATACTATAGTTGAATAACTAGATTGAGTTGATTCTACAACAGAATTATCATCGGTTGTTGTAGACATCTCAATTGAATCCATTGTTTCTGTTGTTGCTTCCATACCCTTTATGGGTTCTGTTGTAATTTCTTTATTTAAATCTAGTGTTGATTCTACTGTGGTCATTTCCAGTACTGGTAAAGACGATGTGGTACTTTCTACTTCTATTTGCGTTGAGCTCTCCTGAGCTTTTGGTACGTCGGTTGTTATTTCAATCTCAGTAGTTGCTGACTGAGAATTGATATTTTCAGTTGTAAACTCTTCGACGATAGGCAAAGCAGTAGTATTTATTATAGCGTTTTGTTCCGTATAATCGATAACTTCATTATTATTAGCAGTTGTATTCTCATATTTTTCAGTAGTTGTCGAAATTGAAGATTCCGTGGCTTCAACATCAATATTTGTCGTATTAATTCCTTCGGTTGTTGAAGACTGTACAGTGGCCAGGGTGACATTTTCTATGATATTTGTATTTACCGTACTGGTTACGAAAATAGTCTCAGTGGTACTACTTATACCATGGGTTTTATTTGGTACTTGTTGCAGCGAATTGAGAGAATTCAATATATTTTCAACATAATCTTTGTTATAAATAAATGTTGTCTTTATAGGCCTGTAGGGCTTATATTGTTTATAATTATAGGGTTTTAGATTTTTTATATACTGCTCGACAGTTTTAACAAAATCTTCACGAGTTTTAAATAAATTGTAGGGATGCTGTCTCGATTCGACCAACTTCCCTGCACCTTCAAAATTCTTAGCTATTGGTTTTAAAAACTGTCTTGTTACTCGGCCATAATTTAAACAATTGGCCGTTGTAATTATCAGGAATATGATAAAAATCTTCGATGTCATGTTGAAGATAGTGTGAAACGTTAACTGTTGAGGTTTTCTACTTGTCTACTGCTTTAAATACTGTTGATTATTTTTTCTTTAAAACACTTTTACCTGTATACCTTTAAAAACAAATCCCTATTGTTCTTTACTTAATGCCTTTTTCATTGTAAAAAGGGGTTTTTCCCTTTTGTTCAAATACTTTCAAATTAAAAGATTAAGTTCCTTTTTTACCTGTGCCTACTTTGACATTGCAAAACTATGTAATAGATGCAAGATGAGAATGATGTATTTTTAATTTAGTTTTATAAAAAAATTTAAGATGTTTACAGGTATATTTTATTGTTTTCTATAGCCTTCTAAGTGGGTGGCTTATTTTGGAAACTACTAATGAGAAATAATTCCAGTTGCATTGGATTTTCGGAATTATTATTATAACCATAAGAATTTAAAAGGGATACTTAGAATATATTGAAATGCATTTGGGAAAAGCCTATTGTCAAAGGAGTGTGTGAATGTTTTAGGCATATGCACGTGAAATAATAATTAGAGTAACAAAATTTTCCCAATTTGTATTAGTAAGAAAATACTTCTATTATTCTTATTAAAATAAAATGGAAAATATCACAATCTAGATATAATTTTGAATGAATTTTTGTAATTATTAAAATTATTGAATATAACGTTAAATTAGAAAATCATTATTTTTGTCACATTGTGACAAGATTATAAAAAGGGAATTTGTATACTCCTCACGAGACCTAGTTTAGTCGAATTCTTAATATATCCAAAAATAGTGGATTTTCTTAAAAATAATTATTTCTAAATATTGTCGGATTTCAATATTTTTAAACTGAAATTTCTTTATTACGATTTGATTTTTTTAACGACATTGAAAGACAAACTCATCTACTATTTAAAATTACACTCTTGAGCAAATTTATGGCGCCAAATCATGAAATGATAGAAAACAGTCCCTTGAAATGAATCATATTAAAAAATATCATCAAAGAAAATTTGGATTAGAATTTATTGGTGATCAATATGGTAATGAATTATGCACTACCCTAGCTCCTAGTTCGATAAATTTCTTCAAGAAAAAAAACCAAACAAAAAATACATTTAAAATCAAAATCTTAACATTCGGATAATTATTTGCGATTTCCAAAAACTTTTCTCCTGACTAAAGAATTTTATATTTAAATCTAG